TTCCGATCTCCCCAAAACCCCAAAACCCCTTGAGTATAAATTTAATGTGTGTAATTAGATAAGTTAATTTCTAGTTAATCAAAATAAATTCACTTTTAAGCATTCTCTATTTTAAGCAATGTCTCTATTAAATTATTATTCTCATATTTCCTTATTTCTATTTATCCATCATCCTTTGCAATGTACAAACGTATTCCATGATGCAAATTATTTATGAACTATCCAAGATAAATATCTCCATTCTTTAATGTGCTTACTCCTACACCTTTTCTCTAGCCATTCACCCATTATCCACAGTATTAATCACCTTTAATCCATTTATAAAATCCTAATCCTTCTTTTATATCATTTACCCATTGCCCTTCATAAATACTTCCATCTTTATAATAAAATTTCCCATATCCATTTCTTTTACCATTTTTAAACTCGCCAATGTAGTAACTTCCAATATCATATATTTATCTTCCATATCCATCTTTTAAATTATTCTTCCACTATCCATCAAAAACTGTTCCATCACTCCTAATTAATCTACCTCTCCCATCCCTTTATTTAGTTATTTCATCATATTCACCTTGATACATATCACCATTATCATATTTAACAAGAGGCATGAAGATTCAGTTTGGGTTTGGGTGAATATTATCAATAGCCCCATAGTTGAAATCTCCTAGCTTTGAAATAATTTCATTGACAATAGCATTGGTTGATTATATCGTTTAAGCAAAAGCACTTTTGACATCAACATTACTAGTAGGATTGTGATTATATTCCTTTTCTTCCTCTATTTCTAAATGCTTTTCCAGAGGTTCATTACCAATAATGCAAAGTTCATAAAGAACCTAGATTGCATCTATTCTCAGAGCAGGATCTAACTGAAGCATTTTGTTTAGGAGCTGCTCGAATATCTTCTATTCATCTTAAAGAGTAATAATCTTTTCCTAATCTTACTTCTTTATCTCGGCTATTGAATTGCTTTAGTATTGATATTCTTTTGTGCAAAGGTAGTACAGTATTACTCCTAGAGACCAGATATCAACTTAACTGTTATATCTAAAATCTGTCCCTAAATCTATCTCTGGTGCTTTGAAATATGGTTTACCAACATAAGTATTTGAACTTGACAGTAATTGTGCCATTCCGAAATCACAAATTTTGAACTTCTGGCCATTTTCAAAAACTAAGATGTTATCAGGACTTAGGTCTCTGTGCATGATATTTTAGTTGTGGAGATGAATGGTTCCTTTTAGTATCTAAATCATTATACCAGCAATTTAAGCATTGCTTAGCTCTGTGTTCTCGATATATGTTTTGAGATTTGATTCTGCAAGCTCTGTAACAATGGCGAACTGATCTTCAAAGGTGAAGTAAGATTCTTTGAATTATGTAATGTTTGGATGGCATAGTCTGAATGTGTTGATCTCTCTGAGTATGCGAACCATCTCAATTCCGTAATTTTTAGGTACTCTTGTCATTAGCTTTTTAATATCTTGCACTTTCATTGCGTAAAATTTCCCATCTTCTGTATTCTTTACTTTTTTGACTGATCCAAAGGCACCGGAATCAATATTATCTTCAAATTGATATTTTTCCCACAGCGGCTATACTTATAGAGCAACGTATTTCTGCATCTTAATTAAGATATGAACCTTATATTTAATTCTATTTAATACTCAAATTATTCTAAACTAATCAGTTCATCAAATTGCAAATTTAGCAATGACGGGGTTTTGGGGTTTTGGGG